TCTTAGCATTCTCTCTCTCACACACACACACATTCTTAGCATTCTCTCTCTCACACACACACACATTCTTAGCATTCTCTCTCTCACACACACACACATTCTTAGCATTCTTTCTCTCTCACACACACATACACACACATTCTTAGCATTCTCTCTCTCTCACACACACACATACATTTTACAAAATGAAATTTAATTGAATTATTATTCAATCATCAGGTACATCAATTATTTACCCCCTGCCATGTAAGTTTTTACCCCCAAGGGGTAAATTTACCCCTGGTTGAGAATCACTGTTCTAGCTGTATGTGTATCTTATAGTAGAGGGCAGTATAATCGCATCTAGTGACGTCACATTCCAGTTCGTACATAAACCTCTACATATCCGGGAAAGTAATGAAAAATAAATCATGTTTTATTTATTTTTTTGCTTGTATCATTTACGGGTAGAAATACACGTGAACCTCGATGTAGATAGTTAAACAATGCACGTAGTCAAAACTGGTCATTTATATTTACAGTTAAATTTTGAATCGTTATTAATAATAGCAAAATATTGCGCCATCTAGTGTCGAAAAGTCTCATTAATGTACATTTTATCAATGTCGATTTATTTAATCTAAATCATGCTTCTGGAATAGTAGCCATGTTTATTGTTATATATAATAGTTCTAAAAATAAGATATAAGTACTGGTCCAAAGAAACCTTAGAATAAACTATGAATATTATTATCCAAATTGGCATTTCAAAAATAGATAAAATACATATATTAATATCAACTTCTATCAGAGCAAGTTACCTATATAGCTCAGAACTATACATCAATCTGATAGTAAGTACAGCTAACACACTATACTGTTGTTGTATATAAAGATTATAATACATTGTTTCGTCATTTTATAACCACTAACAATATTTCTTACCTAAGTAATGGCAAGTCTCTGAAATTTGGATCAGTCTGACACGTCTGTATGTTGGTTACGTGTTCATTCTTTTGTAAACCTACTTCTAACCTCACAAGCTTCACCAAAGAAAGTGTCGGCTATAATTATAAACATCGTAATCCTTATTCATTTCGTAGCGCGTTTGTTTAGGAGCAAATTGAACAAGTTGGTTTCAGTTTTGTTTTGTTTTCCCCAAAGAGGCATTAACGTGATAGTTTGTGACAAACCGTTGTATTAGTTCAGGAGAAACAACAGGAAATCTTTGTCTAATATTTTAAAATGGATATTACTGTACAGAACAACGATAACATGAACCAATGATGCTGATTTCAATAAAACAACGATCACTACCATGTACATATATTTCAATTAGATCATAGTGTTATTATGAAAAACAAATCTTAATTCACTTTGTCTACTTCCATAGTAAATTATATTAAAAAATTAATGTAACAAACAATATATAATCACTGAGAAGTAAATTAAGTCCATAAGGAACTTAAGGTTTAAACTTCACTCTAAAGTAGGCCTAAAGACACACATCCTACACACTTACA